ATGGTAACCCACTGTAATTTAAATGGTACTAATAATCGCAATGTAATTGAACATTAAACACAATTACGCACTATAAATACTTCCTCTTTTCTCATTTTCTCAAAAAATAACACTTTATTTAGACATTTATTTTCTCTCTTAATTCAGCCATATGCAAAGCATGATGGGAACTAACAAGCACAGCCCGGTTTCAGTTAATGCGACACAAATCATTAATGTAATCCCAATGTAAACACAAACAGATTGAGTAAACTTTAAAGTAGATTGAACACAATCAAATTAAGTTTGGACAAAATGTATACAATTTGTGTTGCTTAAGCTCGTTTTAAGTAAGCAATTTCGACAAACAGCAAAAATCTTTTTTTTTTTTTTTGAAGTGCATTAAAATAATTTAATCTGTTTATTTTAATTAATCATTAAAAGAGAGAGAGAGAGAGAGAGAGAGAGAGAGAGAGAGAGAGAGAGAGAGAGAGAGAGAGAGAGAGAGATTCGTACCTGTGTCTCTGTTCAGCATCTGAATCGAGTATTCAGACAGACCATTGAATAAAAAAGTTATAAGAATAGCTTACTAATATATAAGATCAAAAGAACAGCATTTATTTAAAATATCGATTTCTCAATTTAATATTCCTCTGGGCATAAAAGTATCAATTTATTAAGAAAAAAAAATGTGTATGTTTTATGCTCCTAATTTTAACATCGAAGAGGCTGATTCATTGTTAAAAACATTTTAACGTCAAACACTATTAGAGTCAACTGTAAGTAGAGTCTCTTGGTATTTGAGATGCTGCCTATACAGAGGGTTCAAAAACTAGTCACATATGAGGTTCCATCTCTGTTTGGATGCTGTCATAGAAGACAGCTGTCTATATTGGCAGTACACAACAAGGCAGCTCATTAAATGTTGGAGCAGAACCATTGGATCACATAAACAGGGCCATGGGATAGCAGAAAACTGGTGAAAAGGCCACCTAAATCATGCTGTGACAGTCAGAGTACTGCAGAGAATAACACAAAAATACAGGTAATGAAATTCATTATCAATTTAGAACATATGGGCTATTAAATGACATAATTATGACTATTATAACACAGCTATTCTATGTAGCTCGGTAGTTCTGGGTCATAGTCTGTAGGAGGAACCATTTGAACATCTATTCTATTTATGCACAATTATATGGCTCGTTAGCATTATAAAAAACTGTAAACAAACTTTTGCCCTAAATAATCCTATCATGCGGGAAACAAACAATGCCAAACATCTGATATTAATAAATCAGCAAATGATTAACACTTACAAAATCTTGCATGCATCTTAGAGCAAGGACTAATGATCAAAACATGAATCCAACTCAAACATACTTAAACGGCTAATGCTGTAGCATTGCAACGAGTTAGTGAAGTGGAAGCTATAACAAATGAGTCGCTTGAAGCTCGCAGTAACACTCAGCCCTGCACTGAACCTGCCTAAACCTCTCACGGTGAAAGAGTGATAATGAGGCAGAGCTGTTAGCCCATCACAGTGATTAATACTTCCTCTAACAGACTCTCTGGACAGTATATCACTGAAAACCCTTCTTTCACATTTTATTCCAGTGTGAAAATGCAGGCTGTCTAAAACCCGAAGAGCAGAAATCCAGGAGTCGAGTGGCTATTTGTCTCCCTCAATATTACAGGCTCCGTTTAAAATCTCTTGTGAGTGTGCAAGTGGCCCTTACACTGAGTCACACAGAAAGCTGTAGATAGAAAGGGATGCAGAAAGCATAAATTGAGAAAACAAGAAAATGTATTCCTGTATGGAGCCATAAACACCAAGCGAATGGGTTCGATCCCTATAGGGAATGCATTAATTGGTAAAATGTATTAAATGCAACTCTTGCATTTACCATTTCCTGTTGATGCAGGAAGTTTGAACAGGCTACGAAGGGACACATGCCTGTTCTTTTAAAATAGCGAATCACTTGATTTGCTACTTGCTGTAAGTTAGAGACAGGAATAGTTCAATCTAGAGAACATTTGATTGGACAAAAACTTGGATATGACCATGAACAGTCTGTTTTCCCAGACTAGAAACATTGTACATTTGAAGTATGTAAAAATAAAGTCTTATTTACAACAATATTATCATTATCTGCTTTGTACCGTTGGGCCGTTGAATCTGCTTTGGGCCGAACTGCTCTAAAAACGGCAAGGGGCGGCTCCGATTATATTTCCACTATAGATTGGTTCGGCAAAGCATGATTACAAACCATTGGCCAGGAATTCTCAACACAAATCTCCATTTGAATGATTAATTAATTTAAATAAATCTGATCATTCTCCACAACGAGGGTCGCCATTTACATTTCAAATCGACTTGCACACCTCTCTTTTTGGTCTCAGTCCTGCCTATAATCTGTACAGAAAGCCAATTTGGGATTTTAATTTTAGTGAAAGTACTGAAACTTAAATAAAACATGAAATAGTGCTTGCAACCCATTTGTGTTGTAAAACAGTATAATCAATTAATTCAGGTGAACTCTACAAAATGCTGGGTTGTTTTAACCCAATTTGAGGTAAAATATGGACAAACCCAGCCATTGGGTTACATTTTTAAATTACATTTTTAACCCAATGGTTGGGTTTGTCCATATTTTACCCACAATTGGGTTAAAACAGCCCAGCATTTTTTAGAGCGTGGATGAGATGGCTTGGTGTCGTCAGCCAAATGAAAAGTTATTGAGGTGAAACTTTTTCTTCTTGGGGAAATAAAAAAAAAAAATCATGCACTCTAAAAAACTACTGGGTTGTTTTAACCCAATTTTGGGTAAAATATGGACAAACCAAGCCATTGGGTTAAAAATGTTTAGTTTGTCCATATTTTACACATCTCCTCACTATCCACCAGCTGCCTGTCCCCTGAACACACTGTAAAAAATGCGGTCTCTGTAGACACCCCAGGCTCCACAAACAGCGACAAAATCAAACTGGGGCAATCCGCTCCACGAAACAAAACTAACATTGTTCCAGTTCCATTATATGAAGGCATTTGTCTAACTTGGTGACATTACACCTTGAATGAAGTATCAGTACGGGGGGACGAGAGTGTCTAGCTAACCTCCGTTTTGTTTGACGACACTTCGAACGTCAACAAGATGTGACGACACCCAACATCGCTGGGTTTGTTAGAGCACCAACTTTACTTTAGTTTTTCATATCAAACTCCACTAATATCATGTACAAATATCCTAACCCATTTCGTACGATACCGTGGAACAGTAAATTGGTGTATGCGTGTATCATCCTGATATTCTTTTAAGACAATCTCATCCTCTTCACAACTGCCCAAAACCACTTCGCTGCTCTCAACGACTGTAGAGACGGGAGTGAATGACCCGTGTAAGAGAACAAGAGCCAGCCAGAACAACTCAAGCTTTATTATACCGGAGTACAGCCCCATTGTGCTGAAAATCCTGCTTGGTCTGCAGAAAACTACTCGACTGAACAACATCAACCCACAAGGTTTACATTTTTCACATATTTTAGTTGCAGGCAAAGGCAATTATTCGTCTGGTGCTTACTTGGACACTGAGCTTGATGTCCCCATGCTGGCATGTAACAATCAGGTGGCCTGATTAGACTTGAATGAACTGTCAATCAAACCATCATCACAGGATACAGTGGACAGGCTTTGGTGACACAACAGGCTAACAAACTGTCATACACAGTTGTGGACAACAGGCTGTATAGGGAACAAAGTCTCATTCACACACACACAAGATAATTGTCTATGACAAGAAGGTACTTCACTGAATATAGTGATGCTGAAGACACTTTACTTAAAATGGCAGATAAATCGCTAATAAACAGGTCCGTCATAGACTTGATCGAGCTTATAAACCAGTATAAACTGATGATTCTGTATTTAACAACATATTAAATCTGCAATTTTCAGTGTCTTCAGCCTGCTAAATTACTAATTGTAAATGTCATCATATATCATGTTTGCTGTGCTCAAAGCATTTTAAATACAACATTTCAATCTAATATTCAAATATAGTTCATTTAAATTGTAATAATATTGCAAGTCAAGTCACATTTATTTATATAGCGCTTTTTACAATACAGGTTGTATCAAAGCAGTTTCACAGAGATAACATGAAAGTAATACAACACAGATCAATAATGTTGTTGAACATTAAATGTCCCCAACTAAGCAAGCCAAAAGCAAGGCAACATATTTCACAATATTAATAACTTTTGAATGCTAGTGTTGGCCTGTATATTTAAAAGGCATGTAGCCTACATCTATACATCTAGAGAAGGACAGCACTGTAACGCAAGATGGATCTTAACAACACCATATGAGACAAACCAAGACAATAAGTGAAAAAGTGCATTATTATTATACACTATTTAACTTTTGATAAAGACTGTGTGTTAGACTGCATCCAAATACTGCATATTACAATATTCTTACTTTCCAATATTAAACAAAGTTTACTTCCTTTTTAAAAATTATTTTTTTCTCTCTCTCGAACATCCTCCTTTTCACTGATTAGGAATTTATTATTAATAAAGATACAGTAACTTGAGAGGTTTCTGATTAATTTCCACCATCCCTGATCACTACACTACATTACTCTTCAGATAATCAAAGGAAATGCAGACTTAAGCCCCTATTCTCTCCAGGTCCCAAAATTACCCTCATACGTAAGAGCAACATGAGAAGAGAACAAAACAACAGCCCAGTCCAGTGGTTCTCAACCTTTTTGACTTTGGCTTTATTTGCATATTAAAAAAGAGTTTTTTAACTGAGACAATAAAGAAAATCATTAATTTTAGAAGGAAGAAAAATACCGTAACACTTTACAATAAGGTTTGTTAGTTAACTACCGGCCCCATTATATTTGCCATCAAATTAAAGATATTGTTCATGATTAAATAATGTTTAATTTACCGATTGAATTCCTTGACTGTGCCGATAATGATCCATACAACGTAGGCAATGATAATCTCACCTTGAGGAAAGACAGGTTACGGTTGCGTTCAATACTGGTGATCTCCAGATTTCCCATGACCACCTCACAGTTCTCATAGAACTTCCGAAGAGTCTTATACTGCTGGTCCAAATCCGACAGCGTGCTGAGCTTGTTATCAGTGCCAGGACACACTGCAGAGGAGAAGGAGGGAGAGAAACAGGTAAAGGACAGAAAAATAAGAGATGGATCAAAGCAAATGAATCCTTCAAAATGTATTGTAACTGCAGCTATGAAAGACAAAACCAATTAGGTAGGTGGGTGAGAAGCAAAAAAAAAAATACAACCCTCAAAAAATATTTGGAAACTTTCCAAAGCAGCATTAGGTTCTCTAAACAATGTGTGGAATGTCCTCAGGACACAATCATAAATCTTTTTCTCCATATGGACGCTCCAGAATCGCACATATTGTGTGTAATGACACAGGTCATTACTTTAAGAAAGTAATTAGCCAAATTAGTGAGCGAAGGTTCATGTGTGTTTGTTCACTGCCCTGCTTTTGCAACGCTAAACATCTGCCATGGAAAACAACCACATAAAACAGAGATTTTGCATTTTTTTGTGTGTGTGTGTGTGTGTGCCTGGAAACAGTTAACATCAGATTCTCTTTTCAATTTTGTCCAACCGCACCGAGGGCTGTTCTGCAGGTTTTAATGAAGTATTTGATGAGTGATTGTTGTTGCGTGGAATCTCAGAGATGCCATGCAGGCTTCATTCATGCAGATCAAAAACTCTTCTGTCTTTGTTTCAGTTTGGAGTGACTTATCACGGTAACAGTCGCTCATAAGATAAACTGATGGGGTCTTCATGCACGGTAAAACACTGTATCAATGGATGCGTTTACAACCCGCATTGGTTTAACCACATTGTATCACACGTTTTGCCATATGAATGGTGTGACTTTTTGAGTGATGATAATGTAAGAACACTTGTTTTCAACGTTTTTTTTGCTCATCATTTAACTACCACCACAAGGGATTCCCAAGTAAAGCAGAATATACAGTACATTAAAAAAAAAAATAGTACAGTAATTATATTGTGAAAATATCCACATTTAATGAAATCTTAGAACGCTTATATTTTACACACTGAAGAAGTGTGCACAATTAGATCAAGGTCATTTTGATTTCATTTTTGGTTAAATTCAATGAACATTTTTGAATGGACCCAAAATGATCTGCAAGTCTGAACATCATGGGAACACTAAAATGCAACTTACAATATGGGTATGAGTCATGATCCTGGTCTGTGTTCCCCTGTCTTGTATTGGAATCTTATTTTGAAGTACAATCGTGTTCCAATATTCAGTTTCTGTGATCGGTTTTGTAGACCTTTAAACTATAATTCATTTCCCCAGGGAGCCATGATAGCTGGTTTGGGCATGGACAGGAGTGATCCAGGAGCTCATGACAAGTAGCCACCAAAAAAAAAAAAAAAAAAACCTTTGGGGCTCTACATAGTCCTCCACCTCTCTCACTGTTAAAATCGAACCACTCAGCATCAGCGCATAGTCCATATAGTAAAGGAATACAAAACCTAATCTGTCACTGGGCAAAATGTGGCCAGAAACATAACTTTTGCTTCCTTTTACTGTAGTAGCTACTGTTTTGAGATATTTCTAAGCCGTGTGGAGAACCAGTGGAGAAGTGTTGTTTTGGTGTGTATGGTATTAGCGATGATTTCCAGGGACAGTGATGATGAGTCTTGGCTGAAGGAGCTGTGAGGGCTAACAGGCACAGGAACAGACAGCCTCCTTTAACCCTGGCAGAGGTGTCAGACTTGACATGCAATTAAATACACCTATTTCCACCCATCAAACACCTTCCTGGGTCCGGCCTGAACCATCTGCTACATCAGCTGGCCCATGACTGCAGAGCACCACAGAGAGGATTATTGTAAATGCGTGAGTAGAAAGTACATATCCAATGATTCATGTGAAAATGCTTTTTGTTCCTGAAACAAATGGCCATTAGTTTCCTTTGGCAGGAAATACTCACTATGTCACTTTTGCATCAGTGTCCATTACTACCAAAGCAAGTCTTTTTACATTTCTAGTTCTTGAGGTTGTTGACCGCAGTAAGAGATATAAAGAATACACATACATTAAATGTAAAATATTCATTCTATTTTACGGTAATAATAATAACAATATAGATACAAAGATTATAAAATAATTATATATATATATATATTATAATTATATAATAATATATAATATATATATTTAATATGAGTACATTTTTAAAATAAAGAAATAAATGTGCTCGAACAGTGGGAAGAAATATGAAAAATTGATTTAAAGGTTGATCAATAACTGAGTCTATATTAGTGATGTGGCTATAGCTTTATGTGGCCACTGGGCAGGAGTTGATGCTGCAAGTGAAAGAAATAGTAATATGGAGAAATTGAACGCTGAAGGGGAACTTTATATGAAGAAGTAGGGTATAATTGAAGACGGGCCGTTGAATTATTTAAAAAATATTGCACACCCGAGGTGGTAATGCTGGCTGCACGAGAGAGAGATTAAGCATTTGTGAACAGTGTTCAGCGGCAGCGGCTTTACTAATAGAGAAACTGTAATTTATCTGATCCAAGAACAGCGCTGTTATGACCTAGCTAGTGAGAAATGCCATGTAGCTTTTAAGTTGTTCATCAGAGCAGTGCTGTGACATGTTTCTGTGCGAGTGTGTGTCCGTACTGTATCTGTGTGCATTTGAGTGGGCGAGAGAGCGGGAGAAAGAGAGTGTATGCTTTCCGTAAAGTACATTATTTTGTGGCAAAATGGCAAAAACTAATAATGGAAAATAATTTGTTGTTTTGTTTTTTTATCCTATTGTTTAATATATTTATTTGCTTAGTGTCGTTGTGGGTTTGGGTTCTTTTGCTGTTGTAGTCTGTAAGGACCTCATTTGGCGAAGGGATATGGAACTGTAATCCAGTCAAGACCTGGAACTACTTTAGCTGTGCGTTTCCCTGAAAATAATTGCAAACCTTAGAACGTTCATCAACAACGCGTTCTCATCCTAGGGCGGCATATAGGTGACGCTTTTTACATTGCGTCTAAATCCGACACACATGCCACCCTTTAGCGTCAATATAACACGCTTCGGTTATGAGTGGGTTTAGGTCTGGGGTAGTGTTAGGGTTAGACCACTAGGAGGCGCCTTCTGGCCCATGTATATATCTGCGTCTCATATTGACGCTAAAGTGCGCCATGTGCATCGGATGTAGACGCAATGTCAAAAGCGTCACCTCTATGACGCCTTGGGGATGAGACCGGGCTGTCATCAACCAATCAGATTGAAGCATTCAACTGGCGTCATAGTATGCCCCCATATGTCCCCCCCCACACACGAACAGATGCATGCATGCACACACACGCATAAACTCCCCGCTGTGGAACCTCTGCCTTGTACTTAATGTTGTGGGCATGTCTATGCCATTGACTCCTGGAATTCCTGCATGGAACCGCTGCCAAGAGAAACTAAATGAATAAAGCCTACCGCTGTGCTGCTCTTGCAGACTCATTCATGGCAGGACTAATTTACTTCACAGAAAGCAGATATGGCGGGCAAATGAGGACATCTTTTCTTTGCCTTTTTCCCACCGTCATTTCAGTAATGCCATTGTTGGACCATGGAGGTCAGGACCACAGGGAAAAAAAACAAAACAAAAAAACACTAATTTCTGGTGAATCCATCTTAATACGAACACGAATGGCATAAAAGCGTATGCTTATGGTGAGACATAGAAGTAATACTCAAGATGTAAATACTTCTTCATCCATCAAGTTTACAATCATTTTTTTTGAGAAAAGAGACAAGTTTGTCTCGTGGTGGGCAGCACCTATAAACTGGTGATGGGGACGAGACCGCCTATGCCGAGTCCGAGTCCATTGGTTCTCAAATACAGCCAAGTCCGAGTCAAGACCGAGTCTTTGAAGGGTCGAGTCCAAGTCCGTTGGTTTTCAAATACAGTCGAGTCCGAGTCAAGACCGAGTCTTTGAAGGGTCGAGTCCAAGTCCGTTGGTTTTCAAATACAGTCGAGTCCGAGTCAAGACCGAGTCTTTGAAGGGTCGAGTCCAAGTCGAGACGAGTCTGTTGGTTTTCAAATACAGTCGAGTCCGAGTCAAGGCCGAGTCTTTGAAGGGTCGAGTCCGAGTCCGTTGGTTTACAAATACAGTCGAGTCCGAGTCAAGACCGAGTCTTTGAACGGTCGAGTCCAAGTCGAGACCGAGTCCATTGGTTTTCAAATACAGTCGAGTCCGAGTCAAGACCGAGTCTTTGAAAGGTCGAGTCCGAGTCCGTTGGTTTTCAAATACAGTCGAGTCCGAGTCAAGACCAAGTCTTTGAAGACTTTGTCTTCAGCTGATAATAGTTATTATACTTATTAACACTATTAACTTATTAATATTTTTGTGGAAACCATAATCTTAACTTTTTTTTACAGGAATCTCTGATAAATAGTTTCAAAATACAGTATTTATTTGAAATAGAATTTTTTGTAACATTATAAAAACATTACTGCTGCTTTTGATCAATTCCATGAATTGATGATGAAACAATGTTTACATTTCTTCAAAAAAAATATCATTTTGGTTCATCAAATATAAGACGACGTCTAAATTTCTTGCTGAGACTCCCTCGTTTCTTCTAATGGACTAACACTTATAAAAATAAATTTTCTTTAATTAAAATATATAATAGGCCCAAACATGTGTGATCATTTCCACAATACAATGACACAAATGTTTTCTGTGCTGCTGTGAATCACTATCATCTCTTTAATATAAAACCCTTTTCATCAAATTGATTATCCAGTTCCTTTGGATTTCTCAGCGAGCAGCGAGGCATCACCTGCTGGTGAGACACAGGTGGAAGAGATTTGTATTAAGCAGACAGAGGATTTAATGACTCGTCCCAGTCAATTTTCTGCAGCCGTTCTCTTCTTATAACCCTGAAAAGAGTTTTGCACTTAATGTAGCAGGGACAGCTCATGTCGCCTGATCCTGTAGACGGGATACAGATAAACAGCTTGACAGAACATATGCTGATACTCTTCTTGATGAATGCTGATGCATGCACTGAGAATGGGGAATTTTATCTAACAACCACTATTGGAAATAATAGAGGAG